CAGTGCCAGAGAACCTTCATGCCTAAACACACACAACTCAGGAGTTGTGGCAATACAGTTCAGTGGCCAGGCCACACCTTGGACGAGAAGTTGCACTCCTTCATCCTGTGCTCCTCAGTTGCTGTATCAAGAGGAAGCTCTGGTCAGGCCAGATTTTGTGTGAAGGGCATGTTTCAAACCGAGAAAGGACACATCAGCATTGACGCCATCGCACAAAGCAATCTTATCGACGACTTCATGCTTACCATCTATGCCGCTTCTAGGCCAACTATGCCGCTGCGAATGCGTATTTGGACGAGCTGGCGCGCTTGAGGGTAGCACATGAGCTGCCTGCTGTCAGCATTCAATGGTGCGGGACCCCAGCCACGAGACTTGAGGGCCAAGCCAAAGGGAAAGTCAGGTTTTCCTCTCTTTGTGTTTGTCCAAGGCCTGCAGTTGCTCCTTGGCTTGAGGAGACTGTACAAACGAGACATCTCTCGAGACAGCACAAGCAGGAATAAGTTGGCAGTGTCCATGAACCCCGGGAAGTTTTGTGCTTCTGTTCGTTTTTCCTTTGTAGTTTCTACAGCAGATTTAAGTTTGAGAGTTAGTTCAATTCAAAGACTGATTGTTTGCAAGAAATTGTTCTGGTTTCGCGTCTCTTTGTCAAGACTTGGAAGGAGCCTGAGGAAGGGCCTGTCGCACAGGTTTGGAATGGTGTACCAACAGGCAAGTTAAATCCTTGGCATCGTCTGTCACAAATTTGGATCTTTCTTTGATGAGTTGTCGTGTGACTCTTCCATTGCAGGCTTGGAGAAGAAGACCAGTACAAGCAGCATCAGCCTCACTGTAGTAAGGCGGAGATCAGTGAGATCAGTAACATGACCAGCCTTTGCGCCCACTGAGAGCATGGTAGGCAAGTGGTAAAGCTCTCCGTGCTTGGAATCAAGCCCATAGAGCCTGTCCAGGCAGGGTTTTTGCACTTAGGTTCAATTGTCAATTGTCCTCCAGACTGTACGGAAGGATTTGGCTTTTTGGTTGAGCATGTGAGGGCTAAAGCCTTTAGTTGCAAGACGTGGAATTGCTGTTCCGAATTCTCCTGTACTCAGAGTTGAAAAAAGTGCGTGGCATGACATGTGTCGGGTTAGCGGACATGTTTCGACCATGTTGTTCATCCCTTTTCGATGCAGTCGGGGAAGCCTACCGCCTTTCGTGATCCCGTGACGAAGCGACAGGCAGTACTTCCTGGCGCGTACCTGTCTGCAACGTCTCCAACCGTGCTGATCTTACCTTCCAAAGCGACCAAACCGACCAGAGCATGAGGAGCCCCGAACGTAGCGTCCTTGCTCCTAGTAGTAAGGCCAGGAGCCCCTAGTAGCAAACATTGCTCCTAGTAGAAAGGCCAGGAGCCCCTAGTAGCTTCTTGTTCCTACTAGCGATGGCCTCCAGTCCTCCAAAGCTGTTGACTTGTTTCACGTCTTCGTAAAGCTGTGCGTCCCCTTGAATATGCAGCTTTTTTAGAGTCATGCTTTTCTTTGGAAGATTCAATTTGTTGTGCACTTTGATATGTTTGCCAACAACAGACCATCGAAATCAGTCACCATGAGCTAACACACAAATTAAATCAACACGCAGTTTGCCAAAAACTCAAGACATTTGGAGTTTAGACCACACATTCACCATCTCAAGCTCCAAAAGCCAAAGCAAGCAGCATGGACGCGGTCCGGCGTTCTTTTTTGATATCACTGACCTAGATTTCCACATGTCATGCTAGCTCCTCAGGGTGTTATGCTTCAAGACTAGTGTTCCTTTTAGAGAACAATGAGCCTTTCAATCCAGTCAAGAGTATCAGTATATGGCTGTTCTCTCAGAAGGATCCAACTGCCCTCCCATGCCTATTAACCCGCATTCTGAACTCCGAGATGAATTCACCAATTGAGCAAACTGGAGCCCACGCTTCAGCACAAGAGTCGAAGCAGAACATTCCACTCGGGCGATCCACTTGGGGTCGGGTCGCACACTGAAACTGTCGCAGAGAAGTTTCATGAAGCCTAAGAAAGTGGGATTGTGTAGCGATGGCCTCCAACCTAATTACTAGCGATGGCCTGGACCTAATAGTATGTGAGTAATTTTGAACTTTGTCTAGAATGACATTTGAATTCTTGAGGCCTCCTGGCATCGCTACTAGGAACAAGAAGCTACTAGGGGCTCCTGGCATCGCTACTAGGAGCGATCGGACGCTACGAACGGAGCTTGAGGACAATTTGAGAAGACTGGAGCTCACCATGTTGGTCCTTTGCATTCGGTGCATCAGAAATTCTACACTTGCTTTCAGCGCGGGGGTCACGGGATCCCCCCATGGCCCATGGGGGGATTCTTTACAGCGTCCGCTGTGAAAGAACTGACTCATACTGTAGCAGAGATCAAGCATTCTGTTTGGCCATGTCAAAAAGAGCCCCTAGTAGCTTCTTGCTCCTAGTAGCGATGCCAGGAGCCCCCAGTAGCGCCCTTGCTCCTAGTAGTAAGGCCAGGAGCCTCTAGTGGCTTCTTGTTCCCAGTAGTATGTAATGTGAGTTAATTCCCTTAGGAATGCAGCATCCACGTGATGCAGCGAAAAGCCGATTCACCAGAACCATGAGGCTTTGATCAACATGATTGCACCGTGAATTTCAACGTCCGTCTTCAACACATCCAGCCATACTGCCATGCTGGAATCATTTTGAGTCTTTATATTTTTTTAGTGACTACGGAGTTGTTGGAGTAGCTGCAGCCAAAGTATATATCTGCCGCAAAGTAGATCACAACGACGGCGGAGCACCGACCACCACAAACCACCAAAGGCCACCGAGAGGCGCCCAAATTGGTACAAAATCACAGGAACTTGTCAGCACTGTCAGCACGTGTTCATTGAACATTACACCTTGCAGTGCGGACCACACCATATATCAAGTTGTCCACCACAAGCTGACCTTGAGATGCCAACAACCTTTCGCAGAAAGATACATTTTCACTGCTCATCAAAGATCTTGTTGCAACATGAAACACAACTTTCTCACCAGCTCCGTTTTCTGAGAGATCCACCAACTCGATCACACCCTTCTACCAACTGTAAATAGGCACTTCTTAGGGCTGAAGGATTTGGTGTGAACAAGAGGCTACTGTACTAGTAAAAAGGGCATCGCTACTAGGAGCAAGAAGCTACTAGTAGCAAGAAGCTCGTAGGTTGGAGGCCATCGCCACTAGGGTGGAGGCCATCGCTAGTAGGTTGGAGGCTATTACTACTAATAGCAAGAAGCGAAGAAGTGCCTATTTAGTCGAAGTCATCTCAGCTGAGGTGCGAAGTCTTTTACATCCACTGTTGGCACGGAGCCATCACAAGGTGCTGCTGCAGGTAATTTCATGAGCTGGAAGGTGATAGTATTGCTGGACAGAGGATCTGAAGAACTCTGCACTTCATCCTCTAGTCAGGGCCCACTTTCAATATTGTTTTGCAGGGTTGCATGTTACAGAACTTCCAGGGCCAGCTTAAGTCCTGCGTCGTGTGCTTTTTGATCCATTTTGCCTTGTCCTTCAGGAGCGGGATGAAAACTCGATCGGTTTGGCGACTGACAAGCCGGGCCACAGGTTCCAATTCTTAGCTTTGTTGGACGATTCAGGGATAGAACACCTCAGCTTGAAGTCAATATCAATGCCAAAACAGACCAAAGTGTAGATGTTTGTGGACATTTTACAGGTTTCTGATTGTTTCTGAAGCATTTTGAAGAGCATCCGGCTCGTGTTTGTTTGCCAGCTCACATCCCAAGGATTCCTATCAGCGGGGCTAAATTGTGCCTTCAGCTCACTTGAGAGCGACATAGGAACATGTTTCGACACAACGACTTAGCGTAGTACATCCTCCACATGAGTTTAGAACGATGAGGAAGCATTTGGCCATTCGGCCACCCTTGTGTAGTGACTGGGAATAACCTCAGGTGGTGTCTATTCTGTGCACCACAATGTGGATATGGTCACGATTTGCCGATCGCGAAACACGCACCTGACCTGGGGTTAGGACCACTAGGACCAGGTAGTTTGCGTCTCTTCCAAGCTGTTTCATGGCCACCACTTCTAGCACGTTTGAAGCAGCTGGTTTGAAGGGATCCAATCAGTCAGAGATGTCGACATGTTGACTGGTGGGGGCCAGCAGGGGTGGTTGATTTTCGTTGCAGCGAGCAGCGGAGAAAAGCATGCCACGACCAAACCGAGTGATTTCGAAGACCTTCTCACATTTGCCAGTGAAGAGTGTGTTGGTGCCTAGGTGGACCATGGTGAATCCTTGAACAAGATTTTCCCGTACAGCACCTGAACCTAAGGCCTAATGCTTGAGGCATTTGAATTGCCCAAGCGTCCTTGGCAAAGGGTTTGGCAGGGTGGCAACCTTTCCAAGTTGCCGAAGCATTGGACTGTGAAACCTTACCTGGGCCCGTGCAAAAACGGTTGGGACAAACCCCGTGAGCTATTGGAGGCTTCTTGTTCCTAGTAGTAATGCCAGGAGCTACTAGCAGCTTCTTGTTCCTAGTAGCGATGGCCTCCTGGTACAGTAGCGTTTGCTACTAGTAGCGATGCCCTTTGTTACTAGTAGCGTCCTTCCATGAGAACTCTATCATTCTTCGATGCTCGTTTCGCATTGAAAGAAGATCTGGCCATCCCTCCCTAGTGGGAAATGGTCTTGGAGCTCCAAAACCAGAAAACCAATGGCATTGCAACCTTCTGGGCGTTTGAAAGAAACAACTTCTTTGCGCTGCCGGTTGCACAGCATGCCTTGTTTTCATGTCAAAGTAGGTTTTACTGCTCAGATGTTCAAGACAAGCAGATCAGATCATCATTCGCAGCATCGAACAAAAGACTCCTCCACACAAACAAGCATGGACGAAAAACGGTAAGTTGTCAAACAACTTGGTTTTTGAACCATTGAAGTTCTCATGCCTTTGCCTCCGGCAGAGCTCAAACCACAGACCGAAAGACTAGACCAGATCATTGACATTTGCCCTGAACGCAAGTGACGGCGCTATGACAGATGGAGGGCTTAGCTTTGGTGCTGCCACTGAAGGTTATGAGGAGGATCCACAGGCCGGTAAAGCAACATGTTTGATCTCCACATCGGTTCATCCTCAAAGTTTGAACCATCCATCCCGTTCGTGTCAGTTCTTGATGACTTCAACACACGTCTCTCTTGCCGGGAAATATCTTGCACATCAACATCAACATAACTCTTGTTCTTGTGTTTTTTTCAACTTGAGTCTTTGAAGCAGAAGAATCCCGACTGCGAGGCAAAGCTTTGCAATGAAGTTTGCGTGGAGGACAGGTTCCGCTCGTCTCTGTGATTGTCAGACCTCTTCAGAGGCATGCTAGGAGCAAGGACGCTACTAGTAACAAGAAGCTGCTAGGTGGAGGCCATCGCTATTAGGGTGGAGGCCATCGCTACTAGTAACAATAAAGCTTTTTCGTTCAATTCTACCGCATTCCAGGTCTTCAGCGTGCTGCAGAAGATGCGAAACTCTGTGGTCTCAGCTGAGAAGGGCCAATATATCTTTGAAATAGGTTGGACCTTTTCAGCCAATGCTACCTTGCAAGAGTGCCTTAGGCGGTCTGGAATGCCAAACAACGCGACAAACCGTTCCATCTCCTGTCTAGTTCCATCTAGTACCTACCAAAAGATGCATGGCTGGATTCCGATTTGTGTCAGAAGATGTGGAAAGACTAGATCACATGGTTTCCATGCAATACTGTACCACTTCGCCAAAAGCAGCAAAGCACATCACCATATCGCGAGTTGGACTTCACCACCTCACAAATCATTAAGACAAACACATCGGCAACAGATCACCACGCATTGCTAACAGCAGCACACTGCACATTCCACAGGTCGCATGGCTTGTGCTTTCAAATCTGCTCGGATTGTCTGCCAGAGATGGCTGGGTAAGAATCTATGACCCTGCAAACTTACATTGAGGTCAGGATTCTAAAGGCAAAAAGGGTGTAAAGGTCGAAAGAAACAGGTCTAAAGAAAGAACATACAAAACAACAGGAAAACGTAAAGTTCTAAAGAAAATGTCTAATGGTCTAAAGAACACGGGAAAAAAACAAAGGAATCAGATACTCAGATTTGTTTCATGTGGGCCGTAGGCCAACACAGATGTTTTGCTACTTAGATTGAGGGCAGGATGACAGCTTACTAATATATATATATCCCGATCCTTGCACGTGCATGCAACAAGTAAGAAGCGCAACAGACGGGTCATCCGTTGTAGGTGCTGGCACTGGCGGCACAACCTCTTTCGTACTTCCAACCCTCAACCCACACAGCACGAGGCAGGGCAGAATGCGCTCTTTTTCCATAGCAGCAGCTGAGAAGCGTGCTCCATTGCTTGAAGGTATGTGTTCACAGACCTCTCTCAAGCGTTTCTTACGAACGCAAGACAACGTTTCAGTAGGCAGGGTGCATGTTGTTTCAACAAGCTTTTCTGGGAATTTCAGAAGCTGTGATGTGCATCCAGTCGGCTCATGTTGAGGTTTCCTTTCATCGAGTATGCTATTTTCAATGGAGACAAACATCCGGGTGATCAGGCAGCGCTACATCCAGCTTCCTTGCATCGTGTGTTTAAAACAATTTGTACAACAAACAAGCCTAGGTGGGAGGCCATTGCTCTTAGGTTGGAGGCCATTGCTATGAGGTTGGAGGTCATTGCTATTAGGTTGGAG